AAAAAATTTTTAATTAAATTTAAAAAATCTTTTAAAAAAGAAATAAATAATTATTTATAAAAAATTGAGAAATTAAGTAAAAGAATTCCTAATTAACATCTTTATTATTATTATTATTATTAAAAGAAAGAGTGAAATGAATAAAATTCAAAATAGAAACTGCAAAATTAAAGAATAAAAGATATTAAATAGAAAAAAAATTTTTTTTTGAAAAGAAAGAGTGAAATGAATAAAAACAAAATAATAGAACACTAAATAAGGAAATAAAGATTTTTATTATGCAAGAAAGGAAAAAAAGAAGCTTGGAAAAATATTTTCTTTCGTATTTTTTCTTCTTTTCTTTCTTTTACATAATCTCAATATATGTATTTATGTTCACTTTGCTTATGTAAAAATATTATACTTGAATTGTTTGCGGAAAAACATATAAAATCGCATGAAAAGCATTCACTGAAGTATCAATTCGAATGACTCAGCACTTTTGTTATTTTTGCAATAATATTAATATTCGCGAAAAATCTTATGTGCCTGATGGCTTAAAGTAAGAGAAATTTCCATAAACGTGTTTGTGTGGGTGCAGTGATACTATCCTCATTTGACTTCCTAATACTTTTCACCGTCAAAAACACAAGGAGACTTCTCAAAAGGGCAAAAAATGAAGAAAAAGAAAAATAAGTGACAAAATTTAGCATTAAGTACTTCAACATACATATGACAAATTTTTCTTATAATCTTTTTATTTTCTTTTGATTTTTAATTTTTTAATTTTTATAAATTTAATAAATTTAATAAATTTAATAAATTTAATAATTTTAATAATTTTAGTATTTTTAATTTTACTTTAAATTTTAATTTTTAAATTCAAATTAAAATATATTGAAAATATAATACATAATGTTGTTGTAAAAGATAAAAAAGTTTAATTATTAGAATAATAAGTTTAAGTAAATATTTAAAAAATTGTATTTAAAAATATAAAAAGATTTAATTAACATTTTTAATTAACTTATAAAAAACAATTTAAAAAGTGAAAGCAAAAAATAAAAATTTCATTCTTCACTATTTCTTTTCAACTTATGTATATTGTTTATTAAAATAATTAACATTTTATCTCTAAACAATACAAGAGAATAAAAATTCAATTTTCAAAAATTGTTAATGTTATCTTAACAAAATTTGTTAAGATAAATTAGAAAATGAAATAATCAGAAAAGTATTTCATCACCACTTTGAAGTTACATTCATAAAGTCACGTACAATTTTATAATTATTATTTTTAACTTTTAAGATATGTAAAAAAAAATTTATCATATTTAATAATTTCTAAAATTGGATAAAAAATATAACATGAATTTATTATTTCGAAAAAATATTTTTTCTACAGAATGACAAAATGAAAGAAAGTATTTCATAATATAATCACATTGCAAATCAGAAATGGTCGCACCAATAATCGAACACACGAGAAATAAAAGTCCCTCTCCTATCTATATTCGATGCGTGTGAACAAGAATTTACAACACACTGGATTTAAACTCACAAATGTTTTATCATGATTGTCGCGCCTCTACAATCCCGTCACGAGAAATGGATTCAAAAAAAAAAAGAAAATTTACCATTTGTGCGATGAAGACAAGAAAAATGGCTTTTTTCCCTGAAATTCAAGGATTTTATGGTTGCCAAAAAAAAATATTTTACTCGAGTTATTTTTTAAATAAAATTATAATAAAATTTTTCTTTTTATTTTATTACATATTATTTATTATTATTATTATTATTATTATTATTATTATTATTATTATTATTATTATTATTATTATTATTATTATTATTATTATTAATATTATGTTAATGTTTACTATACAATATAATAGAATATAATTTTTCATTATTATTGTTTTACAAAACAATAATAACTCAAGAAAATAAAAATGTGCCGACAATAATTTTTATGTAAATAAATAATTATTATGTTGTTAATAAAAATAAATAAATACAAAGATTTGAGAAAGATTTTACTAAAATTATTATTTCGAGTATTAAATCATAGTTGGCATATATATATTGTCGTGTTTTACAGGTCATATGGGAGCGTTTTATTCAGATTATTTCAATTTAAGTTTGACCCCACAGTGCAAATGGAATGAAGTATTCTCAGTTGTCTAGTTTACATTTTACAATAATTAAACTTGTTTTCACATTTTCACATATATAGAAGAAAATTCTAGAAGTTATTTAATATATTTCACTATATGTCCCTTTGTGAAAATTAATATTTTCTTTTCTAATTAATACACAAATTCTTTATACATAGAAAGTTCTTACACGTTTGTAATTTTATTTTTTTCTGTACAGTCAAGACTGATTTTCGTTTAATTAATAAAATAATAATTAAAATTCATAATTTACAAAAAGTGTAATTTAATTTCATAATTTGTAAAATTATAATTAAAATTCGTAATTTATAAAATAATTCAAATTCATAATGTTATGAATTTATAAAATTAGTGAAATATATTTTTATAACAATTTCTCTTTTCAATGAGAAAATTATTTTATCATTTATAATTAAAATTTCTATTTTCATAAAATTATCATTCAAATTCATAATTTTATGATTCAATAAAATTACAGAAATATATATCTATAACAATTTTCCACTTCCAAATGGGAAAATTATTTTATCATTTGTAATTCAATTTTATTTTCTAATTACAATTCGCGCAAAGTTCGAGAGTTATTTGTTTCGAATAATTTTTCTTTTTAAGGGAAATAATTTTATTACAAAAATAACTCAAGTCCTTTCTCGACAGTGAATATAAAGAAATATGCAAATTTTCTTTTTTTCCAAAGCAAAAAACTATATATAGTTTCATCTATTGTTTTTTTTTTGTATTTTTTTTTTTTCATTAAGAATGGAAAATATGAAAAAAGGGGAAGTTTGCATTCATGGTGAATGGTTATGAAACGAACGTGTAAAGAATTAAAGACAAATGCACACCTGCACGCGTTTTAAATATAAAATTCAAACTACAATTTTTTTTTTAGTTCAATTTTAGAAATTGTGTCAAAAAAATTGTTTTTTTTATATTTTTATTTTTTATATTTATTTTTTTCTAATATTTCTATTTTTAATTTTTTAATTTTTTTTTGCATTTGTTTTATTTATTTATTTAGAATAAAAAGGTTTTCAAAATTCACTACTTTTTTTACATTATGCTACTATTTGGGTACTTTTTTTAGATTTTAGCTACTAAAAGCTACAATTTCTGCTTTTTTTAGAATTCCCACTACTTTAAATTCTCTAATACTAGAAGTCAAAAAATTATTCTCAAAAATTATAATCAAATTCTTCAAAACGGTTCAAATATTTTCAAAAAATATTTGAAACTCAATTATTTTCAATATTTAGTATTTTCATAAAATTTCGCAAAAGAATTCAATTATTTAAAAAAAATTAATAAAATTCAATTATTTTCATAAATAATAAAATTTCCACAGGAATTTAATTAATTTAGGATAGGATTTTCAAAACAATTTCGAAAAAATCAATTATTCAACAAAATTTATATACAATTTTTCACTATAATTCAATTATTGTCACAAATAATAACATTTCTCATGGAAATTCATATTTAAAAAAAAATTTTTTTGATAAAATTCTAAGCAAGAATTCAATTATTTTCATGAATAATAAAACTCATCGAAGAATTTCAATTATTTTTAATACTATTTTAAGTTAATTAATCGAAAAAATTCAATTATTTTCACGAATAAAGTTTTTGACCAGAATTCAATTATTTAATATAAAATTTTTATAATATTTATTATATTTCAAAAAAATTAATTATTTAAAACAATGTTTATGAAATTCTTATGAAGAATTCAAATATTTTCAAAAATAACAACATTTTTCACAGAAATTCAATTTATTATTTTTAAAGATTTTAATAACATTTTTTGCAATAATTCAATTATTTTCATAAATAATAACATTCCTCTCAGGAATTCAATTATTTTCAAATATTTTAATAAAGTTGTTCGAAAGAAATCAATTATTTGAAATACAATTTTTAATTAAATTTTTTTGAAATAATTAAATTATTCTTTTAGCTTTTAATAAAATTCTTCGAAAGAATTCCTATAATGTCAATAAATAACAACATTATTTCCGAAAATTCAATTATTTTCAGGCATTTTAATAAAATTCTTTGCAAAATTCAATTCTTTTCATGAATAACAATATTTATCACAAGAATTCAATTATTTTTAAAAATAATACATTTTTTCTTGAAAATTCAATTATTTTTCAAGAATTTAATAAAATGCCACACATACATTCAATTATTCTCAATAATATTAATAGAATTCTTTGTAAAATTTAATTATTTTAAAAAAATTTTTGCAATTCAATGAATTTCAATATCTACTATTTTCATAAAATTTTCAAACAAAATTCAATAATTTAAAAAAATTTTTGTAAAAATCTTCGTAAAAATTCAATTCTTTTCATGAATAATAAAAATTTCTTAGGAATTCAATTATTTAAATTAGAATTTGCATAAAATTAATTTGAAAAAAATTAATTTGTTTAAAAATTTTTATAAAATTCTTCGCAAAAATTAAATTATTTTTATAAGTAATTAAAATGTTTCATGAATAATAAAATTCGTCGCAGGAATTCAATTTATTAGCAGGTTAAGAAAGAAGAAAATATTTTTGACGAAAAATTAGGAAAAAGTCAGGAAGATTTTTTGTCTGTATAAAAATTATAATTTTTCGATTTATTTATTTTTTTTAATTTTTTATTTATTTGTTTTATTATTTAGTATCAAATTACTAAATTTTACATAATTACTAAATTTACTTGAAAATTGAGTTCAAATTCAAAAAGCAGATAATTAGAGAGGTACAATTTTTTCCCACGCATATATAATTATAATTTTGCGGTTTTTTTCTAAAAAAAAAAAGAGAAAAGAAGGGACAATAAATTTACTCACCATTGTTAAGTCAATATTTAAAGATTCTGAGGATAAAATGTCAATGTTTAAACGACCCATTTCACCATCAGTTTCCATTCATTGAATTCCAGATAGGAATATATATATAGACTACAGATGATGTATTATGATGATGTTAATTATGTTAATTATAATGGTGCACTTAGTCTATTTAAAAGATTATTGACTGCGGTTGGTTTGCGCTCAACTAAACATATACTGGCACTAGTCACTCTACATACTGTACCCTTCAACTACTTCTCATATATAGTCCCAATTAAATTCTCTCGCGCGCATCTCATAAATATATATCGACTCTTAAACAATACTATTAACGTGTAAAAGTAAAATCGAATATTCCGACACAAAAAAAAATTATATTTCTATATTTTTCCGCAATGGATCAACAAATTTTCAAAAAGAGTGGAAAATATTTCGCAATTTGCAAATTTTAAATTTATATTATTTAATGTAATGAATATTAATTAATTAATACTATACAGACACATTCACAATGCTTGAATAATTTAATTACCGCGCTTTCCAACGTGTATCACTATTATAATATTATCATATTAAATTAAATTAATAATTATTCCAGAAAGTAATTTTAATGAATTATTGTTAAAAATAAATCATCAAAGAGAAACTTAAAATAAATGGTAAATAATAAAGAATAAATAAATAAAAATAATAATCATATAATATTGAATAAATAATTTTTCCAGAAAGTGATAATCATCAAATAAAAAAGTTTAAAAAGTCGTTGATATAATTTAGCAATAAATTTTGAAATATTTTCTCGAGTTCTTTTTTTTTAAATCTTCTCGAAAAGTAATTACTTGGAAAAATTAGTTCACGTGTATATAAATTTTCATTATTCTCGAAAATCAAATTTTATCAATAAATTGCAGCATTCTCGAAATAATGAGAAATCAATAATGTGCTTTAATAAATTTTACCGCTCGGTTATGTAATTTATAATTAAAATGAATCATTTTCATTCTAATTTTAAATAAATGAAAATCACAAATGAACAAATCGTAATAATTAAGTTTAAACTGCATTAAAGTGACTTTGATTTATTTACTATAGAAATATATGATTACAGAAATAATAATTATTATTATACATGTAATTTGCATTCGATTAAAATTTAAATATGTCAATAAATTGTTTATGTTACATTATTTACATTCTGTCTATTTTGTTTTATTGGATTAACTTCTGATTTTGTGTTTATTATTTTCTATATTTCTGTGCTTTCAATTTTTCGAACGATTTTACTCAGTAATTATTTGTTTTCGTTTTTAACATTTATTTATTAAATATTTATTTATTTATTAAATATTTATTTATTAAATTACCTATATCAATAAAAAAATATTTATTGTAATTAAAAAATTGCTATTTACTTTGTTTTTAATTTTCTTGTATAATTTCATAATTATTGTCAAGACAGATAATAATAATTAGCTAATATTTTCGAAATAATACACTCATAATTGTTTCTCATTATTTTTACAGAAATAATTATTTTTTGTTATTGAAAATTTTGTTTGTATTTTTTACTCTTTACACTTTTTTCAAATTATTTTCCATTTTATTGTACCTATTAATTGATAATTATTGTAAAAAAATATAAAAGAATATTTTCGAACGATACTCTGAATTATTATATATTTCATAATTATTTTTATTGAACTAGGTATTATTTACAATAATTATTTTAATAATAAAAATAATAATTTTTCAAGTTTTCTTTTAAATTCTTCTTGAAAAATTATTTTCATTCTATTAAAATAATTATTTATTGGCTATTGAAAATATGCATTAACCACAATTTGCGAACGACACTCAGAAAATTGTTATGTTATTATTTTTATCGAAATCATTATATAATGATACCGAAAAATTTTTTTTGTACATAATTTTTATTGTATTACATAAATAAATAGTATAAAAAAAAATAATTAACGAATATTTCCGAGTATACTGCATGTTTATTAATTATTGTTAAATATTTGTTTCATACGTAATTAAGATAATCTTTTCAATTTCAAATATTTTAATGACTCGTTTATTAAAAAAAAGGAAAAAACAAAATAAAACAGAAAAATACTAAAAAAAAGTGGAATGTTTACGGGATTAAATGTGACGTAAGTGAGGCACTGTCGACATTGTGAATATCAATTATCGATTAAAGTGAACATGTAGAACTAATCTTCATTATTGACTTTTCATTATGAACTCAAGTCTCATGATACTCGATGGTTTATATTTAAATTTTCAAAAAAAAAAAAAAATTTTTGTGTCAAAAATTAATTTTTTTTTTGCTATTTTCAAAACTTGTCAATTATGTGTAATTTCATTTCTACTTTGACTTTCATTTTTACTTTCACTTTGAAATATTCTTTCACTTTCATTTTCACTTTTATTTTCATTTCGGAAGATTTTTATTTTCACTTTAATTTTTACTTTGAAAGATTTTCTACTTTTACTTTCAGTTTCATTATGTTAGATTTTTCTTTTCACTTTTATTATCACTTTGAAAGATTTTCTATTTTTTACTTTTATTTTCTTTTCGTTAGATTTTTATTTTTACCTTCATTTTCGCGTTGAAAGATTTTCTATTTCTACTTTTATTTTTACTTTGAAGAAAGTTCTATTTTTATTCTTATTTTCATTTTTACTTTGAAAATTTCATTTTTACTTTGAAAATTTTATTTTTACTTTGCAAATTTTATTTTTATTTGGAAAATTTTATTTTTACTTTGAAAATTTTATTTTTATTTGGAAAATTTTATTTTTGCTTTGAAAATTTTATTTTTACTTTCATTCTATATTAAAATGACTGCAAAAAGAAAAATTTATCAAGCTCATTCTAAAAATAAAAGTGAAAGAAAAATAAATATTTATCAAAGTGACAGTGAATTATTTTTACATATATTTCAAATTTCTATTAATTTATATTTTCAAATGTAAAATATAAAAATATATTTCATATTTCATAAATAAAAATATTTCTATATTTTCTGTTTTTTAATTTAATTTCAAAAATTTGCATTTATGCCCTGTTTTTGTAATATTACATTAAAAAATTTTTTATTAAAAATAAAAAATATAATTGACTGTAAAATTATCATTATTTTAAGTCTAATAATTATGAAAGTAAAATAATATGGTAATTTTTAAACAATCAAAATTATCAAAAATAAAATTCTAAATGGATCATTTATTTCTTTTTTATTATTTATTTACTGTTTATTTTTCTCTTTTATATTTTTTTATTTATTATAAAATACAATTTATATAAAATTATTGTGGAAAATGGATAAGTAGAGATAAACTGAATTATTCCATACAAGAAATAGTCACACACGTATTATTACGTTAAAACCTCGGAACTAAAATTTACCCTCTAGAATATTTGCTATTATTATTATTGTTATAATTATATAATAATAATAATAATAATAATAATAATAATAATAATAATAATAATAATAATAATAATAATAATAATTATTATTATTATTATTATTATTATTATTATTATTATTATTATTATTATTATTATTATTATTATTATTATTATTATTACTTTATTTATTTATAGTTTCTGTTTATTGCTATTTTATTTTATATATTATATTGGGACATTCCAAATTATTATTTAAGTAAAATTATAATAAAATTAAAATAAAATAAAAAATTACAATAAAATTAAAATAAAATAAAAAATTACAATAAAATTAAAATAAAAATAAAAAATTATAATAATATATATTACTTTCTTAATTTCATTATTATTATTGATATTTCTGTTTTTATTATTATTATCATTGTCATTATTATTGTTATTACTCTGAACGTGATAAAATTACAAACTCCCTGTTATAATATACGAACGAATAATAATCGGAAACAGAAGGACAAACAAGGGTTTATGAATTGCATACAATTTTAGGACAATTTTCACAAAACTGTTATCACATTACTCAAACAAGTTGTGTATATCTATAAAGCTAAATTTGTTTCATTTGTTTCATTATATACATATATAGAGAGCTAAAAGGTTTTTAAGTTGAAATATTAAATATTTTCAGTAAAAGTTTCAGGTGAGATATTGTATTTCCGATTTGAAATTTCCACTCTCGTCTCTGTATATCTATACGTATATATACATATATACACTAAAGGGGGCGTAATATCGTAAAATGTTATTGACACATATTTTTCCAACTAGTGAGATAAAAGATATAAGACGATCGATATCACGATAAAGTTCATAATATGCTATCGTAAATGCTTTTACTTGACCATCCTGCTATCTCTCTCTCTATCTCTCTCTCATCCTTTGATCTAAATTTCACTTAAGAGTTTTATGAATTTTCCAAAGTTATCTATATATATATATATATACAATTTTACTTTCAAATGAAATCAGAACTTTGTTACTTTATTGATTTTTAATTAGGCTTTTAACTCGTTGTATTGAACTTTAGATTTGTGCGAATTGAACATTTGCGTCGGAGGGTATTTTCATTACTCGAGAGAATATAATTGATAATTTTCAAATATTTTTTTCTTATTTCAAAGTAAATTGGGTGATTTTTTATTTTTTAAGTAGAAATGATTTTCTCATTTTTTTTGAACTCATAAAATAACTTAACTTTCAAGTTCATTTTATTATTTTGTTTTCAATTTTTTGTGACTATTAAAATAAGTTTTCTCTTTAGTTCATATTATTTTTTTCCAACCTTTTTGTACTTTTAAGTAATTTTTTTTTTTGTTAACTAGTTTCTATTTTTTCAAAATAAATTTGAAATGTAGTATAATATGACAATGTAGTAAAATATTTCTCGAATTGTATTACTATAATTTTGTTCTTGAATGAAAATAATAGATTTTTTTGCCAAATGAATGATAACGAGAGTTACATTTGGACTTAATGAAGTTCCATGAAGTAGTATTGAAAATCCGCTAAGTTCAATTAGAACTGTATTAAAGAACGAAGACACACAGGAAAACGTATTTGTTAGATTTAAATTGGATTTAGAAACCAATTTTCTGCTAAGGAAATTTATTTAATGAATTAAGACCAATTCTTCTTTACTTTAGTCGAAAAAAATTTCTA